CTGGGGCTGAGGGGGTGAGAAGAGAGGGAGGGGACTCAGGGCTGAGTCCCAGGATGGTGGCAGGAAGGGTCCTGCAGCTGAGGGGACATGGAGGGTGAGAGGGAGGGGACCTGGGGCCGTGGGTGAGGGGACAGGCTGGAGAGGGTAGGGATGCACAGAGCTGTGCAGTTTGTAGACTGTTGTACAGGGTGGTCTTAAGAATGTGGGGGCAGGACTGTCCTGAGGATGCAGGGCCCAGGACTGGTGGATGGGGCTGAGAGGACCAGCATTTGAGCTGAGGGGCAGGAAGGTGACTCCAATCTGAGACTAGGACTTGGATGCAGCTCCACTGGAGCTCACTCTATCCTGGGAGCCACCTGGGCACCTGTCCTGCAGATGCAGGATTTGAACCCAGGTTTGGTGACTCAGTCCTAACTCTTCTGCTATGAATCCTGGGTCAGAAGCCTTCTCAAAGCACCCTGGCTTATCTCACCTGATGGTTCCTGACCAAGACCACAGGGTCCCCTCCCCTGGTGGAAGTCCACGGGGCCATGCTAGTCTGGGGTTCAGGAATGGCTCAGCGTTGTGAAGGAGCCCTGGATGCTCTATGGATCCCAGGATCTTGCTCTCCCAGTCTTGAGGCACCACTTTCCTACCCTTCTTTAGTCCGCTTTGCTGTGGGGAAAGCTAGCGAAGTTCATCTCAGGTACAGTACAAGTTACTTTTCTGTTCGATTGGTGATCTTATACTTCCTCCATCTAAAGGACACCTTAGACCTCAGCATTCTGTTCGTACAGAAAGTATACACCCATCCTGCCTCCGTGCTCAGGCTTGTGAAAAGCTTGCTGTAGATGCTGCAGGGGAATGGGGATCCATACAGCCCTGCAAGGCCTTAGGAGCCTCTGGGGGCTGCTTTGTATGTGAGCTGCACTTGACCAAGCCAAGCTCTGGCAGTTGCAGTGGCTGCTCCCTGTGGCTTCCTATCCCCCATCCATGGTCCAAATCTCCTCAGCAACCATCTGCCAAAATGTTTCGTGGCAACAACTGGCTTAGGTGCTGATATCATCCCAAACTGAGCTCTGCCCTCTAGGGCTGCGTGTGTGGGTTTGCTTCCTAGTTCTTGGCCTTACACCTGAATGTGTCTCAGAGCACTTGGCCTGCTTTCGACGCCTGCCAGCTATGTTCTAGGAGGGATCATGTGCTCCAGGCTGTGATTTGGACAACTGTCTTGTCAGCCAGTGAAAGGCCTCTTCACACACCTGGGGTCTGGCAGCCACACCTCAGTGGCACTGTCAGAGGCCTGCTTCAAAGCAGACTCCAAAGGAAATCCAGCTTGATAAGGCTTGGGAGACCCCAGGAGGACACCATGATGTGGCCCCTTCTGAGATATAGCAGACAGACTCTAGAATGGCTCCCATGACCACCTCCTGGCATGTATGTCCTTGTGTGATCTTACCCTTGAGTGTCTGCAGAACCTGTGCCTGTTGTAACCAATACAAAAAACACAAAGGTAATGGGATATCACTCCTGTGACATCGTGTGATCATATAACATAAGGTTATAATATCATCTTGCTAGCAGTCTATCCCTTGCTAGTTTTAATGAAAACAGGCTATAAGCTGTCCTATGAAGAGGCCCATGTGGCAGAGTACTGCGGTCCCCTCCAGCCCCCAACTAGCAAAAAACTAGGGCCCTCCATCATCCAGTCCACAAGGAGTTGAGTGTGGCTAGCAATAGTGTGTGCTTCAGAAGTGGCTCCTTTCCCAGTCATGCCTGAAGAGGAGACTACAGCCCCAGCTGATACCTTGATTGCAGCCTAACAGGACCTTGAGCAGAGAACCCAAAAAAGCCACACTTGGACTCCCGCTCCACAGAAACTAAGAGATCATAAATGTGTATTGTTTTAAGTTGCTAATTTGTAGTGATGTTCTTATGCAGCATAGATAACTCATACATAGAAGCAAGGCCATGTGAGAACCCAGTAGGGGCCCCTGCTGCTCAGCCACTCCCCATATGCTGGGAGAGCTGTCTCTCTGGCCTCTAACACCAAGGTCCCCACTATCCCAGGCCTTGACTCTAGGATCAGAGAGGGACAAAAGCTCCATGGAGCCAGGCAGACTTCTCCCTCTGCAGTACTCCTTGGGCTGCTCTCACCTAGTTTGTCTGGCACATACAAGTTGTAGCAGAGAGAGGCAGGAAGCTGGGCAGGGAGAGGGTGACAGCCTTGCTTAACTGAGGGATGAGTGCCCACCAAATTTCCCTTCTTTTCCTGCTCATGAGCCCCCAGGGGACCTGTGTTCGTTCACTTTCTAGAAGCTTCTATATCCCCTAACTTGGATGACCCCAACAGGCCTCTCCAACTCAGTACAGAGAACATATGACCCTGGTGGCATGGGGGGAGAACCCAGCATCTCTCCCCTGCCCAGGTTCCTGTACCCCATAGCTGCCACCCCTCTGGAACCTCTCAGGGAAGCACAAGGAGTGGTAGCCTTGGAGTAGCGCTCACCCTCTGGGCACGTGGTCCTCCAGATTGGCTCACAGCCCAGCTCTTGCTCCCATACCCACAGCCATGAGAGCAGCCACCTCCCTAGGAGACCATGAGCACTAGATACCCAGGAGCCCACCTAGGCCAGGAGGGTGCTGGGGCCAAGTTCCGTTGCCCCCTTTGACACTGCATACCCATGAACCCAGCAGGGGTATCTGAGGGCAGCTGGGAAGAAATTTGACCACTGAAAGACTGTAGAAAACCCCTTAAACCTCACTCTACTACCCCACGTGGAATTGGTTCCTGTGGGCTGCCCAAGAGAGCCTCTGTGGTGAAGAAGCTTCTGAGGATGTGCCCCTAAAGATGGCCAAGGACACCTTTCTGTGCTGTCCCCACTCTGCACTCCATCCCCCATCCCACACTGCCTCCAGCTGGAGAGTTGAGGGTTTTGTGTCTGTGTTTCTGCAACACTGTGAACTCAGCCCTATCTTCCTTGTCTTCCTCACAGCCCCTAAAGCTCAGGGAGCTCAGAGGAGGACATGGACAAATGGACTATAAGTAGGCAACCACTCTACTGGTCCTCCTTGACTGTTCTCTAGAGCTACTTAGTAGAAACCTGGAGTGCATAGGAGGAAAGCAGTGGTGAACTTCGACCCTGAGACAAAAGACCTGAGCAGACTTCACCATGGGATGTAGCACTTTCTTTATTGCCCATCCAGAGAACAGCCAAGCCAGCTTCATCTGCATTCTGGCTACAGCATGTACATTAGGGGGCTCAGGGGCCACAGTGTGGGATGTGCATGCTGGCAAGGCACTGGCAGATGCTGGCAGGCAAGTGGACATGGATAGATGAGAATGACGACTCACAGATGTCCTAGCTTCTGTTGACCCACCTGCCAGCCACTGGCCAGCACCCTTCTGCCCAGCATGTGTGCATTGTCACACAAAATGTCTTGAAGCTTGCCATTAGTGAGGCATTCAACAAAGAAGTAAGCGCATAAGTGAGTAGGAAACAGTGTTTCCTGGAATATACCACACTCTGCCTGAAATAGGAAAACCATGTTTGCTAGGAAGCAGCAGCAGCAGGAAAGAAGTTATACCAAAACTACTTGTATACCACAGATATTCTAACCCTTTCCTCAAAGAAATAGTCATGTTCTGTTGGGTATTATGGACAGGTCTCTTGAAATTTATCTAATAAAGACAAACAAACTTCCCCAGCAGTGCCTCTGAGTACCATGTGAATTCTGGTGTCTTGTGAGAAGCCAGGGTGCCTTCTTTGTATCCAAAGCTTTGAGGAAGCTCTAAAGCTTTGGTTCCATTTTAGGAGGGCTGTGTGATGGTGTCAAAGGTGTTCTGGTCATTTCTGCTCTGTTCTCAGTCTGTGAAGGTAGGTGGACATAATGTGCTCCTATGGGGTGTTCCATATGTGTGTGTAGCCTCTGCTTTCCAGCTTAGTTTTTTGCATCTCTCTTGTGTTGACGAGCCACACCTCTCAGCCTTCATTCGGTCACAGGCCTGAGCCTTTGCCTTCATCATCAGCTTTTTTGTCCTGCTCTAGCAGGATTAACTCTGTTCTTGCCACGGATGTCACCATCACTCTGGAGCCCAGCCCAGTGTCCACAGGCCCCACTAGCTCACCCTCTTCCTTCTCTTCAGGGGAGAAACTTTCTTGGGCATCAAAAAAGGTGATTGTTTCTTCTTGAAGTTTTTGTTCTTCCAGCTCTGCCTCATCTTCAGTGCTTTTGCTTTTCTTGGTAGAAGATGAGGAGAACCCTAATTTGGGAAATCGGAACCAGCCTGCCTTCTCCTGTTTTTTAGGCAGTTCAGCCTCTGGTCGTGCCTCAGGCTGTGTTTGAATAGGAGCAGTTCTCTGGGCATCATTTTTGGAATCCACACCTGTGTCATCAACAGAAGAGGAAAACCCAATATTTGGAAGCCAAAACCAAAGCAGACCAGATTTTTTACTTTCTGTTTTCTCTTTTGGAGCCCTGCCTTCATCTGCCAGCGGTGTGGTTGCTTCTTGGCTGTCATCAGGGGGAAACTCAAGAATTTCTGCTGGCTCCTCATCTGAACAGCTGTCTGCAAGCTGGTGGCCAGCAGGAACTTCAGATGTGAGTGTTTGCTGTCCCAGTACATTGATGCTGGAAGAGATCATCTCAAATGGTTCTCCAGTGTCAGGCTGGAGATCTCCAGAAATGGAGTCTACTCTGAGGGCAGCTTGTGTGGGTGCCTCTTCCAAGCCCTCCTGAGTCCTACAGTGTTCAGTCACTGTTGTGTACACTCTAGCCTGCATGGGGGCCTCTGGGATTTTCACCTTTAGCAAGGAAAATCCATACGAAGGTGTTTGAATCTCTGATGCGGGGATCTCTGATTCCCGTACAATCTGAGTGGAAAAACCCCTGGGTGCTGAGAGATCTATAAACTCTGGTGTCACTGTACTGTGTATGGTGACCTCTTGACTTTCAGCATGAGCACCCTGAATATGCACTCTGACCTTTGAAATTGGGGAAGCTTCCAAAGGCAGGTTAAGGTCCACAGGCTGCTCCCTGGGGACCCCAGCACCTGCCTTCAGAATGCTGGCTCCCCAGAGCCCTGGCCTTTCCTTACAAAGGGCTATGTCAATATTGGCCTCTGGACACTGCACTTCCCTCACAGTGGGGATGAACACATCATCCTCTGAGCTGGGGGCAGGGAAGGAGAACCTTGGTACCTTTAACTTGGGGAATTTGACAGTTAACACAGAATCTTCCCACAGCTGATCCACATTAACCACAGAAATCTGGGATGGCACATCAGTACTTGAAGCTTTCAGTTTAACTGGACCTTCAGGCAGTGAAGACCATTTCTCTGTTTTCTCCTCCATGCCAGCAAGATCATGTCCTGGCTTGGAAAGAGAAATCTCATCCATTTCTCCTAGAAGAACCTGGGTTTCTGGAAGCCTCATGCCAGGCATCTGAAAAGGGAGAGGTCCTTTGGTTGAATGGATCCTGACCTCAGAAGTGGGAAGCTCACCCTCAGCCACCCCAGCAGTGGAGAGGTGCAGCTTCAAGCCTGTGCTGTCAAGATCACACTTTAGAACCTCTGTGGATGATTTGTTCTTAGAAGCTGTCACTATTGCCTCTGCTTCTGGGAGCCGTAGGGACATATTTGCCTCCACGTTTGACCCAGAAACAAGAAACTCGTTGACTCCAGCTGCTGCTTCACCCCCTGTTACTGCCGATGCCTGTGTCTGAGCCACTTCCAGCTTTCCAGCTCCACCTCTGTCCCTGGAAGAGTGCCTGAGGCTGGGCATGTGGAACTTGGGCATTTTAATCCAGATTTCCTGCAAGTCCGTGGTCGTGCCCTCCTCCTCTGGGCTTTCCACTGTGTGGGCTTCAGCATCTGGTTTTCTACAGGATGGCTGGAGGGGGTCTTCAGGTGTGGGGGCTATCCCCTCCCCACAAGGCTGGCTTGCTGGGACATCCCCAAGCCCACATCCTCTGCTGTCACCTTCAGTAGACAGATTATGTTTGGGAAGAGGCAGGTCAGCTTCAGACTGGCTCACCTCCACCTTGGTCTTGGAGGATCTGAGATCAGGTTTGGCAAAGCCCAAACTAGGAATGCGGACCTGTGGCCAATGGAGGTTCACACCCTCACCTTCTGTGGTGCCTGCTGTTGAACCAAGTCCTCCCCCACCACCTTCACTGCTGGCCTTTTCTGTGACATGAAAGCTACCCCCTGCTGTGGCACTAGAATGAGAAGGATCCATGTCTCTCTGTGGCAGGCTGACACCACCCTTAGAAACTTTCATTTTGGGAAGTGCAAGTTTTGGCATGGCAAAGCCAGGCTTTGTGCTGCTTCCCTTCTCTCCATCCCTCTCTGGAGGCAGATTCATGTGCATGGCAGGCTGGAGGGCCACTTCATCCTTGTCTAAAACCAGGCTGAGTTTTGAGTCCTCCACACTGCATTCTGGGTCCACCTTTGGCCCTGCTTCCTTCTTTGGGGACCACCTAAATGATGGAAGCTTAAACTTGGGCATTTTGAAGGAACTCCCTTTCCCTTCGTGGTCAGCATCTTCCGCAGGGGTTCCTCTGGGAGCCACTACTGAGGTCTCCAGGGAGTCCACAAGCTCTTCCAGGCCCTGGGACACAGAGGTGCCTGGGGATGGCAGCTGAGTGCTTGGCAAGGGGAACAGTAGCCCCTCTCCAGGGCTAAGAGGAGACATGACTGGGGTACCCACCGCTGAATGTAGGTCTCCCTCAGGAACTGCCATTTGGGGGCCTGAAAACACAAATTTTGGTTTATAGAATTTAGGAAAAGACACCTGACCATGAGAAGCAGGGATCATGGAATTCAGTGTACCAGAGTGACTGTCAGTTTGAGAAGTTTGAACTCCCTCTGGACGCTGCAGGTCAGTGGAACACTCTGTCTTGGGAAGACGAATCTCAGCCTGAGACCCAGAAGGAATTTGCAGAGCAAGCTCAGGGGCCAAGGAAGCTCTGGGAACAGTCACCTGGTATTTTGTGAGTATGTCACCCTCACAGGGGGAAAGGATAGAAGATTCAAAGTGGGGACCAGTGAGATCAAGCTGAGATGACGAAAATCCAGACAAACCAACCTTAGGCATCTGCATGGATGGCTCTAAATCAGCCGAAGCCTGGTGTAATTCAAACTGTGAAGAATCTGAAGATGATGCCACAGGAATCGTGGGGAGACGTATTCCAGGCTCCGCACCTGGAACTAGACTATCTTTAGCAGTTTTTGCAGAAGAAAATGAAACTTTGGGCGCTATAAACTGCAGGTTCTTAAACTTAGAATCTACTCCAACTATTCCAACACCAAGTCCAAACTTATCATCGTGTGATGGAACCTGAAGATCACCTTCACAAACGACTTCAGACTTCCTGTCATTTACAGACACATACTTTTCGTCCAAGGACCAGTCGCCCGCAAGCTGAAAACTGCCCAGCTTGGCTCCTGGGACATTGACATCCACCTCCATGCTGGGCAGAGACACTTCCACGTCGGGTACTGTCACCTCTGCCTTGGTGCCTTTCATGTCCAGCTTGGGGCCCTTGACGTCCACCTGGGGGCCCTCGAGGTCCACTTTGGGCATCTTGAAGCTGGGCATTTGCACCTCAGGCAGGTGCCCTTTGAGGCCGGCTCCCTCAGACATGTGGCCCTCTGGGAGCTTCACGTCCACATGGCCAGCCTGGACCTCCAGGTTGGCAGAAGGGGGCTGAATGCTGAGGTCAGTGGTCTTGAGGTCCCCCTGCATGGAGGGGAGGCCCACCTTGGCATCCACCTTCGGCACAGACATGTCAACTGAGGCCTCGATGGACTTGCCTGGGGCTGACACCCTGAACGATGGCATCTTGAACTTCGGCATCCTGAACTTGCTGTCTTTGGCGGTGGTGACGTCCTTGTCGGCAAGGGACAGGTCCCCCTCCAGCTGCACACCGTCCAGCTTGGCTCCTGGGGCTTGGACATCCACCTCCATGCTGGGCAGAGACACTTCCACGTCGGGGGCTGTCATCTCTGACTTGGGGGCTTTCAGGTCCAGCTTGGGGCACTTGACATCCACCTGGGGGCCCTTGAGGTCCACTTTGGGCATCTTCAAGCTGGGCATCTGCACCTTGGGCAGGTGCCCTTTGCGGCCGGCTCCCTCGGACACATGGTCCTCCGGGAGCTTCACATCCACCTGGCCCGCCTGG